TAAATAGATAGTTTAAAAAGTAAGACACAATCCTATGCATGTTTAGTTAGAACACAGTCCTACAACTCCCAACAGCTAACTGGGGAATGGTGGGAGATCATTCTGACTAAGCATGTATAGGACTGTGCCCTTAGTATCTTTATAATATGTGCAATAAAAATTATAAACTTCATTTTTTTAATTGCCACAGAGACAAAAATGATAGTAGCCATCTCTGTGTCCAATAAATAGTATAAAGCTTCAGCTGTACAGAATAATTCTTGCATTCTGTTATCTGATATGTATGAAATCTATAATAATAATAATTTTACAGTGTTCCATAATTTACTTACCATTCATTCATAGATGACAATACTATAGGCTTCACTTTGGCAAGAACTAACCCTGGAAGTAAGCCTTTTTGCTACCTGCTTATGATTTTTGTTATATATTTTACACAGGATGAAAAGCCTCCATCCATGTTTTCTCTTTTAATAGAACCAGTAATTATTTAAGAAGACAAACAACTCATTTTCCTAGAAATTGTGTTTTAAAAAAGTCTAAAAGGATGCTACTATCATATATTAATAATATCAGTCACCCTCTTACTATAAGCCTTTACCTCCATTCTCTTAACTCCTATATCCCATTAATAAATGTTCTTGGTATTTAACTGTAGTAAAGTAGCAAAAAAAAAAATCCACATCTTCAGGAAGTGACCCTAACAGCAATGCCTTCCAGTTTGTCTTAAATTATTTTAAGATATCTTCAAATTTGAATAGAAATTATCTATTCAAATAGAACCGTATCATTTGAATTATGAACTTCTATAGAGGAACTCTCAAACTGATGCCAGATTCAGAATATCATTACTAGTATTATTACAGATACCATTTTGAAACTACACAGCTAATACATCTCATAGCTATTTCCAAATTGTTCAAAGGTATTTAACTATGTAATTTCTAATTTTAAATAAAAAAACTTAGATTTTTGTATGATATACTATCATTTGTATTTATAATTCAACACAAGCATGTTTAAAGCAATTATTAATAAAACAATAAACTAATATCAGCCTAGTTCTAGAATGACTTAACATCCGATTAACATCACATCTTCAATTCAGGTTAAGTAGTAGATATTTTAATGGGGAAAATATACAGATAAATTGGCATTGCTGACAACAGAATAAACCAAATCATACTATCTGTCGAATTATCATATCTGACTGAATTTCCTCCTTTTGCTCTCAATTCACCTGCAGCACATTAGACAAGGTAATAATTTATGATAATCATATGAAAATATACAATTAATATTCATCACCTCTAGTTTCTCATCACTTTAGATAATCAGTAATGCAGAGTGAAAATGCTGTCAGATTTCTAATTGCTTTGTAATGGGCCTGAAATAGGAAAATCATTAAAGACAAACAATCTGTCACTTGTCTGTTACTTTAACTATCTATCACTAAAAAAAGAAACTCATTAAAGAAATTGCTAATGAGCTACAAAAGACTGGACTGAATATGTCCTACCATTTATTTTAAACAATAATGTATGTGCCTAAATAATTCCCTAGACATTTTGTGGACTTTGGAAATGTGTATTGTTCAAGTAGTCTTTTTCTATTATAACAGTTATACCTGGTATTAAACACATTATCGTGTAGGAAGTAAGTCACATTATTTGGAACTTACTGACATATGGCAGCTTCTTTCCTGAAATCTATTCATTTAAGGGTTTCCTATTCACATGCGTAAAAGAACTGCTCCCTGTGTATATAGGTAACTTATGGATTCTGTTGAAAGTTCTGTTCTTATGAAATGTAGTCAGAGACCATGCAACCACCATGCCATCATCGAAAACAGGTAGATGGTCTCAGGTGGTCCTTTAGTAATTGCAGACCCCTTATTTCCTTTATGCACATGGACTCCAATTTATCAATTAATTTATAAGAAATGACACAGTTACTATTGTTATTACTGCTAATAATATAATTAGTAAACCAATACCATCACTTGTGTTTGGTACAGGAAATGGAAATGACACAGATGGCTGGATCAGCAACAATCCTACTGTGAAGAGAGGTGCTCCAACCTGCACTTGGAAAGCTACTGATCCAGTGGAACATTGCTGCTGATGAAACAGGGGGAAAGCAACATTCAGTGACTTGTGCATATTACTTCTCCGTGAGTTATTGTGCACAACTCCCTCACCATGTAAGCATGCACACTAATAAATGATAGGAGAGATTTTTTAAATAATACCATTCAGGTTTAAAATATAATTACAGGGCATAATCCAGTGTAAATAGACAAATAATGACCTATAATGTTTTTCATTTTATGACAGTAGAAGTTATATGTTTAGGATTACACTAACACATGCTTGGCTTTTTGATTTGAGTTTGCCTGTTCAGGCTACTACTTGACAGTTTCTTTACAATAAGAAAATTTGATTGAACAATGTAATATGACAATAAAATCAGCAATAAACATTCAGGCCATAAGTCTACATTTCTAATTAAAATAGTAACTTGATAATCCGCAGCTGTTTTCAAAACATACTGAAAATAAACTTAAAATACATTGCAAAATGGTAACTCTCTTGAAGATTGCCCTACTAGAATGAAAGTTAATGCTCTGAATTTCAAGCATGATCACCCAAGCTCAATCCCCATACCCATTTTCAAGGAGAAAAGAAAAAAATACTTGATGCAACACAATCCATAATCACACTTGATCTGTTATGTGCTAGTAAGGGCTCATAGACCAAGGGAAACTTGCATCCCCTTCCTAACCCACAGACAAAAGCACAAACACTGAACATCTTTTAAGGATGGGTAGAAGAGACAGAGCTGGATGTGACTGGTGGGAGTCTGGGACAATCCCTTTTCCCACAAAGATTAATTATTAATGATTAATTACTGTAAGCCGTTCTGGGATTATTTTTGTACAGGACGGGGTAAAATATTTTAAATTAAATAAATGAATGAACAGATGGAAAAATCAACCTATATCATAAAGAAGGCTATATGCTAGTTGTCACGCTGAACATTAGAGAAAAAAGAAAGAGCAGAATAACATATTATGAAAGGAGCATTCCCTTCCCTTGAGTTCCCCACTTTTCCCTGGAAACATGTACTATCATTTATTTCATGTTCTCATATCATTGTGTTGTGTGCTTCCCCACCTCTGCAAGGGACATCCAATGATGTGGAGAGGGAAATGCATTATGATGTAATGATGCCAGGTAAATTGTTTTTCATGATATAGAGGAGAGCTTCAGCTATTGGGCAGTATAGAAGCTAGATAAATTTGATACTGGGATGCTGTTCAACAGCTTTATGTCATCCATAGAACAGTGATATCTAAGATGACAAGCTCTCTTCAAGTGTTCTAAATCAGAGGATGATCAACACATAAGAAGGGGAAACATGCTAGTTCTGCCGCCTCTATCAATAGGACTGGTAACAAGCTGAGCATGACTTGATTAGGGAAGAAGCTATGTAGCCTAACAGCACTATCTCTTTCTTTGTACGTATTTCCCTACACAAACATTTTTGTGCTACTGTCGGTCTGTACCAGAGCAGTCCGTACCATACAATTTGTAACAAAAGTACTGTAACACAACAACAGTACTGTCCTACAACAGTGAGAATTCAGCATCAAATGAAGGGTACCTCTTTATTCTTATTCTTGTATTATTATAACGCCTACAGTTGACATACAGATAGCTATTTAACATGTGTGCAAATGGTTCTATGCCAAATGTGTACTTGACCCTTGTCTTTCATGGCTTGTACAAGCAGCTAGGGTAGAATGGACTACATGAGTAAAAACAGCAGTAGACACCTTTTTACAACAGGTGCCATCATGTCAAAAAAGTATAGGGGTAAAAGGTTTGTTAAAAATAACCTTCCCAAAAGCTACTGTATTGGATACTTTCTTTCAAGTCCAATATTCTACTTTTCTTCAAGTTGCTAAAACATGAGGCAGCATCTCAGAACCAGATATTTCTTGCAAAGGAGATTATCCAGATCCATTGCAATTCGTTAGATATGCTTACTGAACAGAGGGTCCTTTGTTTAACTTAGAGGACAATCTGTGCTGGGAACTGGACAGATGTAATGAGTATGTTACATGACATGACAGCTTTCTATGAGTCATTGCACTGTGCATTTCCCCATCCACATCATAGGATACTACTAGCTGGGGAGCAGAAGAGCACAATATTTTGAGATGAGCACATGAAGTAAATGACATTTATTTTCATTTAACCTTGAAAAGTTGTCACATAAAGGAGGCCAGGATTGCATCTTGCTCATCCCAGAGTGTAGGACATGGAACCATGGACTCAAGTTACAGGAAGCCAGATTCCAGCTGAACATTAGGAAAAGCTTCCTGATTGTTAGAGTAATATAATAGTGGAACTAATACAGCCCATGGGCTCTCCTACACTGGATGCATTCAAGCTTAAGCCGAACAGCCATCTGCTAGGAATGCTTTAACTTAAGTAACATATTGAACAGGGGATTGGCTCCAATGGCCTTTTTTGTTCTCATCCAATGCTGCTGTTTTATGAATTTAATCCAAGGTGAGGTGGAGGCACATGTGACTGTCTGTCTGAATATGCAACCTCCAATCGGGGTGGTTGTCTTCTACAAACCCAGCAAGTGTGGACTATGCATGGGTTAAACAATACTCAAAGAACCTATAATCTGTTATAGGGTTGTGTAAGGCTAAGCACATTTGTGTTAAGTCATTTTGATTATCCCTAATTATTGCTCAGGTATATTATGGAAAATCAAAATGGTATATGGCTTATTACCCAATGCAGGCTCCAGTAACACTGCCTTTGAGAAGAGAAAAAACACTGGTGTGGTCAGAACATCAGTGCTGTATGTTCAAAGGAAACATCACTGGGGTAGGCTCTCAAACCTATTCCTAGTACAGGAGATTTCAGTTAAAAAGTAGAGAAGATGTAAATACTTGGAAAGGTTAAGTGGTCATGCACCTGCAAACGCATATTTGTTGGTGGTGGTGGTGGTGATGGTGTTAACATTGGTATGCCACCCACTGCACCTCCTGGTGGCTCACAATCAGAAATCAAAACCATTATAAGACAGCTAAAAACATCACTACCCTAAATTCATAAAACAACATCAATTAAAATACAGATAAAACACAAAAGAAGGTTTAGTGGCATCATATTTTAAAATGTTTTTAAGGTAGGTCTTTGCTTGGCACTGAGAAGAGTATAAGGAAAGTGCCAGGCAAATCTCCTTGGGGAGAGCATTTCAGACATTTTATTATGGTGAGGGGGTTTAAGAGTGTCAGAGAAGCCAAGAGCAAAGACACCACAAGGCCAGACTATCTCATCACTGTAATGCACCTGAATTATCCTGAAACCATTCCCCTTCCTGGTCTGTGGAAAACTGGTCTTCCACAAAACCAGTCCCTGGTGACAAAAAGGTTGGGGAACCACTGATCTAAGCCAAATGGTCAAAGCAGACAAACATGCATCCACCTTTTTTGAGGGATAATAGTCACAACAGCAGAAGAGAATTGATAATAGGAGAGAGGGAGGATAAACTCCTGAAGAGCAGCTATGGGCAGTAGCAGTAGTTGAAGGTGATCATTCACAGACAATGGCAGTGAAACTCAAGCTAGCTCTTGTTAGCACTGCACAGAATAAGGCAATGATAAACCACTTCTAAATAATCATACCTTATAAACCTTATGATGAAACAATCCAAAAACAAACAAGAAATAGGGCCAGAAGATGAGATTCTCAGATACTGAGAAAGCACAAAGGACAAATTGCACTGTCACTAATGTCACAACTAGATCAAAGCTGAAAGGAAGTGTAATGGTTGAAATGCACAGAGGCAAAAGGAAAGCCCGATGATGCACAACACAACTACAACTGGAACATGGAATGTGTCATGAAGGGGTTAAATCAAATGTTAGGTGAGAATGAGTCTGATGAAAAACTGATTTACATGGTCCAAGAATTCCTGGTGTGAAGGGATTTTTTTTTCTATTGTCACTGGCATTTCTGATTGGTTTAGAGAATTGTTTTGTGTATGAAGACATCAAGATACTATTATGTTAACATTACCTGGAAACCTAATACTCTATATGTGACTGGAAGGTTGTAAAAATGTCTGTACATAGGCTGCGATTTTGTAGTCGGCGGTGAGTACGCACTACCTGGTGGCATGCTATTGTAACTGCAGAGGGCCTGGGTGATCTTACCAATAAAAATGCTGAGGTTCAAGGCGATTTAAATATTCCCTACAGGTCTGAGTGTTCATTCCCGCCACTGGTAAGGAGACTCTGACACAGTCAAATACAAAGTGTTTTACTCTGGAAATGGCAAACTCAGAAGAAACAGGGCAACTTTAATACTGAGATGACCCTGTTTCCCCAAAAATAAGACCTAACTGGAAAATAAGTCCTAGCATGATTTTTCAGGAAGCTTGTAATATAAGCCCTACCCCAAAAAAGCCCCAGTTAAGATCGTCAGCCAGACGGACACATTTATTACATCCGTTGCAACACAATTTGGGATTTGGAGAGTTATGAAGATGTTCCAGAAGAAGATGGCATGACTGTATTTGAATAAATGTACATGAATGAATGTAGATTTTTGTACATGAATAAATGAATAAATGTAGATTGTTCTTCATGAAAAAATTAGACATCACCTGAAAATAAGCCCTAGTGCATCTTTTGGAGCAAAAATTAATATAAGACCCGGTCTTATTTTCGGGGAAATGTAGATGTAGTAAAAATAGCAAGGGGATATAATACAAAGTCCAGCTCAAGGATATCAATCAGAACTTGTGGGAAACCTAAAAGCATAACCATTATTTAAGTCTATGCTCTGGTTCTGAAGAAATTGAAAACTTCTATGCAAGCATCCAAAGGAAATTGTTAACGCATCAAAAGGACATACTGATAATCATGATGACTGGTACACAAAAACAGAAAACAAGCAGAATCTAATGCTATGAGAGAATTTAAAATAGGGATCAGAAATGAAGCAGAAGAACAACTCCAAGAATTCTCCGAAGCCAATTATCTGTTTATTGTTACTTCAGGCATGTGATCAAAGAAATGTAGACATGGACAATACCAGATAGTCTATTTGATTTCTAGATTGACTATGTAATGTATGAAATAGAGAATCTGTATTCTCACTGCCAAAAGGCCAGGAGCAGATTGCACTAGCAACCATGAACTATCAAGAACAGATTTGCATTAGTGAACTAGTTCTTCTTCTTGTTTGCATTCAATTATGGACTGAAACCAGAGATATTATTACGAAAGAATGCCAAAAGACTATCCCTGTAGCAAAAAAGTAAGAAAAAGCCTAGACATATCACAGAAGAAACACAATTGCTAAAGGCAAGTGAGAGGTAAAAGGGAAAGGTAACAGTACTAAGGTCAGAATCCTGGATGCAACTTTTCAGCTCCTCTCATGTAAAGACAAAAAGAATTATTATGGCCAGTGCAAAGAAACAGACAAGAAGAGGAAAAAAGGAAAATGAGAGACTTCTAGAGGATTCAAGAAATCAATAAGAAATGTGAACCAAGAGTGTAGGACTAGGACTCAAGCAATCTGAATTCTAATCTCCACTCAGACATGGAACTCAGTAGGTGATTCTGGACCAGACATAGACTTTTGGTCAAACACTTTTTATTTTCCCAATATTTTAAGTGTTAAAGTATTTTAAGATGGAGTTTTATTTTATTTATTTGTTGTCTGATGCTGTACTTTTATTTCATTGTACTACCATCCTGGGCACTTTTAGTGAAGTACAGTATATAAAAGCTTTAAATAAATAAATAAATAAATTTTAGTCCACACTACCTCACAGAGTTGTTGTTATGAGGATAAGATTAAGAAGAGAAAAATTATGTAAGCAGCCTTGAATTCATTGAAGGAAGAAAAGACAGGATATAAAGACAATACATACATACATACATACATGGATTCAGCTGAGAAAACCAGTAACATTTTGGAGTAGACTTTAAAGCAACAGGAATAGCTAGGATTTAATATTATTATTCCAAACTGCAGAGACTGAATTGTTCCAAATCCTAACAAGAATATGCCAGCAAAACAGGAAACAATGGTCCAGAGACTGAAAATGATCACTATATTCCAATCCCCAAGAAAGGATGCAAAACAATGCAGCAACTATAGGACCATTGCACTAGTTTCCCATGCGAGCAAAGTGATACTCAAGGCACTGCCACAAAGAATATTACTCTGTATGGAGTGAGAAATGTCTGATGTTCAAGCTGGATTCCAAAAAAGAAACAGGCACTCATAACCATATTGCAAGTATATGTTGGGTACTGGTAAGGACCAAAAATCTTTTGAAGATCACTGGGTACTTTATAGACTACAGTAAAGGTTCTGGCTGTGTAGATCATAAGAAGTATGGATGATTCTGAAAGAAATGAATACGCTTTGGCACTTGATTGGCCTGATACATAACCTGTATTGTGAACAGGAAACTACTATTACGACCTGCAATGGAAAGCCATCAGAGATTCTGCACACCGCAGGCTACCCAGGAAAAATTCCACCAGTTCCTGGTCCAGACACTGGATTCAGCATATGACAAAGCAAGCTTGGGGAAAAAACAAGTTTATCGAAAGGATAAAACATAGAGGACACTAAAACATTCAGGCTAAAAGGATAAAACAGGTTAAAATGGGAGAGAGAGAAATTGGAAATCAGCAAAGATATGTTTTCAACCAACCAAGCATCCTCACAATCCCAGGGCCTTGTTGACCCACTCGGACATGAAAAGCAATAAAGCTAACCCTTGCCTCAGCTATACACAGAATCTCTATCTTCAGCAGGGCCAAAAAGCTCAGGTCTTCACAGAATTCTTCAGGACGGGAACAGGCATCAGAATAAATTCCCAAAGAGGAACGAAGAGCCTCTCGGTTTCCCAGCTTTTATCCCCCCCTCCATTGGTCAGCTGTGGGAATATGGTCTATCTCACAATCCTTGGGACAAACCATTTACCCCAGGTGTCAGTCTTTAACCAGTCACTGCTGCTATCTCCAGCATCCCTGAGGACATCATTTCTGATAACTCCACAAACTATAGGACAAAAGGGAGAAGGATGACTCCCAAGACCTTTCTGAGCTGACACCATAATTTATAACATTTAGCTGTTATAGTATTAACTCTTTCCTTATTCCCTCTGAACGAAAGGGCTGGTTCACATTACAGAACAGAGTATGGAGAAACAGAATGGTTTCCTACAGGCAAAGGCATCAGAGAAGGATGTATTTTATCTCCCTGTTCAATCTGCTTTTAATTATTATTTTATAGATAAAAGGGAAAAAAAGTATAATGAATAAGAAAGAAAAAGATACGAAGGGATCTTACACAAAAATTACATAGAGTACTAAATGCAGGAAATTACACAAAAAGTCAATAATTATTATTTCTCTTAATTTTGTAACTACAAAATTATGGTTAATAATGCTTATTACATAAAAAGCATTAACGAAAGTAAATAATTATTCACCTTATGACATATGCACAAACAAACTAGCAATTAATGGTTTTTCTTTTTTTCTCCAGATAAAGCAGTATCATAATAAAAAGTTAAATTCATGAAGAGAAGAAATGATATTAATTTGATCATTACATACATATACTTAATAGTAACACTCTCAATTGCTAAATAAAGATATATAACAGGCTTTCCATTAACATAAAATACTTTAACTAGGTCATCCTTACATAATTTCCATTTTGTTAAAAATTGTTAGGTAAAATAAGCTTAATATAGCGAGCTTTCCATTTCTCATTAAATTCTTTGGCTGGTCTTCTATTCATATAACTAGTCAATTGTGCCATTACTGCATATTCTGTTAATTTATTTTTCCAATCTTCACTAGTTGGGCAGTCTTCTGCTTTCCATTTTGTTGCAATTATAATTCTAGCTGCTGTCATCATATATTTAAATGGTACTTCCATAGTTTCTGACACAATACACAATAGCATAGTCTTAGTGTTCATAGGAAAGTTAATTTTCAGAATTCTCTGTATTTCAGCATATATTTCTTTCAAAATTTTTTGACCTTACAGCATATCCACCACATAAAAAGTCTCTTCCACTTTTTTGCATTTCCAGCACTTTCCTTTATAATTCTTGTCCATTTTCTCAATATCTTTTGGAGTAATATACCAATAAAAGAACATCTTGTACCAATTTTCTCTTAGTGCTTGACTAGCTGTAAATTTTATATCATCCATAGTTTCCCATTGGCAGAAGGATATTTCCTCCTCAAAGTTTCACATCCATTTTATCTTACATATTTTAACTTGTTCTGTATCAGTATCATACTGCAGTAATTGCTTGTAAATGTAAACCCTGATCCTGTCTGTTCAATTTGTATGCAGAACATATCATAAGGAAAGCTGAATTAGGATCAGAAGAAGCAGGTATGAACATTGGCGGACATAGAACAATAATTTAAGATTTGCAGATGATACTATATTATTTATTTATTTATGTATTTCAACCATTTTTATGCTGCCCCATTCGCAAAAAGCCTCAGGGCGGCTTACAACATTAATAAATAAACAGTTATATAATTAGAGTTAAAAAACTGGAAACATCTTGGCATGTACATAAAAATCCAATAAATACAATTCATAAATTAACAATTAAAATAACTTTTAAATAAAAAGGTCTTGGCCTGGCACTGAAAAACAAATAATGATGGCGCCAGGCAGACCTCTCTGGGGAGCGCATTCCATGGGTGGGGTGCCACCGCAGAGAAGGCCCTCCTCTGGGTACTCACCCTCCTAGTATCATTCACGGAGGGTTCTCGGAGAAGGGCATCTATTGCCAATCTCAAGAGGTGGGAGGGCATATATGGACGCAAGCGTTCCTTTAGATAACCAGGTCCCAAGCCATTGAGGGCTTTATAGGTGATAACCAACACCTTGAATTGGGCCCGGACTTCAATGTGAAGCTGACGGAGAACTGGGGTTATATGAGAACAACGCCCAGTCCCCGTCAGCAACCTGGCAGCTCTGTTTTGTACCAATTGAAGTATCCGGACCAAAGCAGCAATGAACTGAAATAAGACCTGATGAAAATAAGAAAATGCAAAAGCAGGACTGCATCTGATTATAAGAAAAAATGACTACAGAAGAATTATACAACTTTGGGGTCAACAATGAAGAAACTGAAACTGTGAAAGATTTTACATACCTTGGCTCAGTCATCAATTCAAATGTAGCCTTCAGTGAAATTCAAAGAGGACTGAGACTTGGAAAGTCAGCAATGAACCAACTAGAAAAGATCCATTTCACTGGTTACCAAGGCCAAGAGCACTCACGTTACTGTATTCCCAGTCACTATAATTACTATGTACAGGTGTGAAAGCAGGACAGTGAAGAAAGCTGACAGGAAGAAAACTGATGTGTTCAGCACATGGTGCTGCAAGAGAACTTTGCAAAACCCCTGAACTGACAGAAAGACAAGCAAGTGGGTCCTAGAGCAATCAAATCAAGCCAGAATTTTTCCTGAAAGCAAAAATAACAAAACTGAAGCAGTTGGAATTTGGCCGTCTCATGAAAATTCAGTAATCACTGGCGAAGACAACAATGCTAGGGAAAGTTGAAGGCAGAAGATCAAAGATGAGATGGAATGTTTCCCATTAAGCATGCCACAGTCTTGAGTTTAGAAATGCTGAGCTAGGTTGGAAAGGACAGAACATTTGGAAGGTATTCATTTATAGTGTTGGTATGAGAGACAATTTGAAGGCTCCAACCAACACCAACTTTGTCCTTCTTCTCCTCGTGCCTACCTTAACTCTCTTTTCTTTCTCTCCCCATTATATTTCCTTCATCCACCTGGAAAGTCATGTCTCCCTTTTGCCTCCACTCCCATCCACAGGGAAAGTGAGGTACTCATGAATGCACCTAGACCAGGGGTCGGCAACCCGCGGCTCTGGAGCTGCACGTGGCTCTTGAACCCTCTGCTACGGCTCCGCTCAAAACACACCGGCACAGCTGATCTGCTCGAAGCTTAACTCAGGAACACAGTGCTAGCTAGTTAAGTAAATCAGCTAGTTAAGTAAATCGCTACATTCCTCTGCTAAACAAGCTTCCTGAAGGCTCTCATGTTAAACAAACAAAATGCTCCTGAAAGGATTCTCTTTGTCCCAATGTAATCTCCTTCATCTGAATGTTAAAAGCTGCACTTGGGACCTGTCACAAATCACAGTACTTGACTGTTTATCTGCTAATCAGTCACTAAACATACCTATATCTCAGGCACAGCCACTGATCTGCAGATAGGGGCTGAGCTCTGCAGCCCTTTAGCACGGACTTTGGCTCTTCAGGAAGCTGTTTGCTTATTCAAAATATATGAAAGGAGTCCTACTAGTTTATAATGTAAGATTAAAAATAACAGTTTTTAGTGACTGAACAAGAGCTGCAGCTAAATCATAATGAAGATATACATAGCATTAAGGTAAAAAACGATATATGCAGTGTTATCTTCATTTTAGATGTCAAAAGGGTTTTGCAGCTCCTGGTGTTTTCTTTTGTGTGGGAAATGGGTCCAAATGGCTCTTTGAGTGTTAAAGGTTGCCGACCCCTGACCTAGACCAAGCCACTCCTTCAGACTGATTTCCCCACCATCACCTTACCTGGCATCCCATTTAGTATTGTGCCTGCAGCCATACAGAGTGTTATGGGTACTAGTAATAGCTGTAGGAAGAACTCAGCATTGCAAACTTACACCAAGTCATTTCATGCCTTTTTGCCAATTCTGATTAAGCAGATCAGGGCTAGGGAGAGTAGGTCTGAATTAGGCAGTCTTAAGATGAGGTGATATACTGCAGATATTAGTACAGTTATACAAGCTGACATGTAAATTTCTATGGGACAGGTAGGCTTATCCCCTACCCAATAATTAGCAGCTGTATTAACTTGAAAGTTAACTTGAGTGTTAACTTTCTTTTCTTTTTGTTCTGGGTCCTAGCAGAAAGGTGGAAGCTGCCAAGGTTCTAATTTTAAAATGCTAATTTAGTGTAAAACCACAAAACAAACACTGCATGCAAACACCTAACAATTTTCCTAAAGCCATTGAACTGTTCTATCCAGTAACACTTTCCACAGTACTCAGGTAGTAGAGATGTTTTCTGGTGAACACAAAAGCACACTATTAGCTTATTTCCTCAACATCACAAGGAATGAAGAGTTAGCATAATATTTTAAAGCTCTTTGCTGCTTGAAGATTAATATTTCAATTTTCAAACTTACATACCCATTTCATCCTAAAGATATCACTCTTCAGGAACATATGACTTATCCTTAGAAATGCTACTTCCAATATTCTATGCAAAATGCTGTGAACCAAGGAAGTCACATATAAAAATTTCAAGGAAAAACAGACTGTTTTAGTATATTTTTTCAAACTTCAAGAAGAAATGCTTTCAAATCCCACCTTTGCCAGGGTCTCATTGGAGTCACTGTCTTTCAAATTCAGCTCCTCCTCATCACAATCAGAATACTAGGGACAAATAACAGGTGTTAGTAGGTACATTGCTAGCTGTAGAACTATAAAACTCTTTAGGGACAGGGACCCAAAGATAGCAAATATTAACAATCCTTTAGACTTGCAGTCCAATTCATGCTGTCCAACTTCCATTGCCGCCTCAGGAACTTGTGTGGAACAAAGGGTGCAATCCTATTATGTTTAGCAAGAAAAAGAAGTCCCAGAATTCTCCCAGTGAGCCATACTAGATAAGAAATTCTGGCAGTTCTAGGACTTCCATACATAGGATTGCATCCTATAAGAACACCGCACTCCTTCTCTGATATAGCTGCAAGGTTTTGGCAAAGGTGAAATTCTAAGTGCTCTGAAATGAAGAATATCTGGGGCAAGCGAAATGCCGAGAGACGTTATTGAGTTTGGATGTTCTCAGTTCCCGAAGGGGAATGACTGAGGTTTCCTCCGACTTTCTAGGAAAGATTAATAGTAAACTCAGGCACTTCGAGGTAAAAAGTGAAAAAGTTCTTGGCCTGAATAAAGATTTGAACAGAGTAAAAAGGAATCGACACGTTCGCTTACAAAGTGTCGGTGTCGCAGCCGTCCTACTTGCTCTAAGCTGCCTCCAGTCTCCATGGCGACAGCGTCTCTCCCCTGCCTGCCTCGCCTTCCTGTCTGCGCATCAGTCTATGGAGCCGACTAGAAAGCAAAGACCGTATTCGAACGTTCCCGGCAATCTGCGTCGCGAAGCTAGTTGGCCGTAGTCCTTACCGTTTATTTTCCGCCGCCGCATGTTCTTTGCTCTGTTTCCTGTCGGAAGAGTGTGCGGCGGACGGCTTGCCAAATTCAGTTCTCCTGTTAAAGCCGTTTGCTGTTCCTCCATGTCTAACCCTGATGCACCGGGCAGCCTTGTGAGGGCTTGCAGTGACCCCTCCTCCGCCCCAGTATCGCTACTGGACAGGTAAGGCTGTCGTGGAGAATGGGGGCTTGTTTGTTTTCTAAGATGAGGAATGCCGGATAGGCCCAAGAAACGCTCAGAATCGAGGGGAAAAATGTATTTACTCGTTTCAGAAGGAACTCATTCGCCGGGTGTTCCGACCTCCGGTTTGGGCCTGTGTTCAGCCAAGAGAGCTGTGATACTTTGTTTTGTCAGAGGCGGGTGAGGTGAAGTGGCTGCTCGTCCTCGAAGCTTAGCGCTTTACGCCTCTCTCTGATGTGAAATAAGAGGTGGGGAAGGAGAGTTGTTTTGGTAGAAAAATAGGGTATTATGAGGTGTAGTGGGGATTACATTTTACCTGCAGAACATACCTAGTTTCTTCTCTCCTATGCCTAGATGTGAAATGAAGATGGTTCTGTGGATACATGTCTTAATATTTTGAAATCTCGTGTCGGTTCCTCAGCAGCCTTTTCAGGCGACTTTTTATTAATTTTATGCCCCTGCCTACACGTGTTTTTGAAAAATATGCTATAAGAGCCTTGAGAGAGCAATAATGAATGGTTTTATGGTGCTCACAAAGCATGTGATATATCTGTTACTGTTCCTTTATGATGGGTACAGTATGCATTTTCAGGGGTGAAGCCCACAGAAGAATTTCCTGCTGTTATGGTGCATCTTTGGCCGAGGATTTTATATTTGTTAAATCCTTGTCATCCAACTTCTCTGTTTTTCCTTTCATAAGTCCTTAGAGTGTTGTTGTTGGCATATTACTTATTTCAGTTTCAAAATTGCACATTATTTATAGTTATAGCTCATTTAGTTCTAGCTCATTATAGAGTCCTTGGGACTAATGTAATTGTGGAATATAAGTTGGATAAATAAATAAATGTTATCCCAAAGACTTTGAGTGGTTAGTAGTAGTTTAAAACAAATGAAAGAAGACTTTCAACTGATTCCAGGTCATATTAAATTTCAGAATGCTCTTGACGAGTTACAAGAGAGTTCTCACTTAGGTTAGCTGTGACTCTAAAAACTTGCCTTTATCATTCCACCCTGTTTACACATCCACAGATGTTAGTTCCCATTCCCATCATAGACAATCTTGGATATGCAGCAGTTTCATGTTTCTGCTGTCCCCGTCCCAGGAAATTATCTGTGTCCTCATGTATGTAAGGCGATGTACAAAACTTGAAAAGATTAATTAGTTCTATAGAGCTGTTAATTTGGTTTGGAGAAAAGTGAGTTTAGGATATGGCTTCTGTGATCCATAGAGGTCCACCAACCACTGACAGACACAAAATGGGACTTGCAAGTTGGTAAAAGTCTAAGGTACCCTCAGTTATACACTACATATATGAATAATTCAAATCTAAGTTTTTACAGGTTAAGAGTTTTAAAACCAGCCCTGTAAATCATCAGCATGTCTGTACAAATATGGTCAAAGACAGCGAATAATGTTTAAATTGTTCATATTTAATTGTTCAATTCTGTTCAAACTGTTCATATTCACAGTTCAGTGAACAGTGATTAGCATAAGGCTAACCATGACAGATAGTCATTCCCCATTTTTTCTTTCACCAATTTTCCTTCCCCATTTTTCCTTTTACCATTTTTAAGACCAAGTTGTGCCAGCATCCATACACATAAAGTCATTGTACAACTAAGAAATATTGAGACTCAGTATCAACAATGGCTACTAGTTATGATGGTTATATTTCACCTCTAGTGTCTCAGACTTACTATGTGAATAGAATGCTGGACTAGATAGACTTTTGTTCTAATCCAGTGTACCTTCTTTTGCATTTTTAAGGATGCACAATGTATCCATGGGTCAGGAAAGAAAATGTACAGAAGATTTTACTTCCTTTTTCAAACAGCAGGGATACCAGAAAGATACTGCTTGATTTAAGTAGGCTTGACTCAAGTAGGACCTGCTTGCAAGCAATTGTGCATATGATTGCAGCATTAGAAATTAGAACAGAAGCCCATTCTCCTTTTCTGCTTCTCTGTTTTTCCCCCTCAACATCCAATGAACATTCAGTGCTTGCTGAACATAGTCTTCATCTCAACTGTTTCTTTGGGTGCGAAGATTGCCCTTGGTTCTTTTTTCATTAAAAAATTGCAATTTTGTTAACCCAGGTTTGCTCCTGGGCATGCTGATGCTTTTGTGTGCAGATGGTGTTATTTTGTTTACAGTCTATCTCAGTATAAACTTTCATTTGTGGAGGCCTGCTTGCCAGGAACACAGGAAAGAGCATTCTCTGTTGCTCCCAAATGCTGTAATTCACTCCTTTTGGACCTGTTACTGTTACCCTCTCTGTGTGTATCTTCAGCAAGGGGATTAAGGCACATCTTTTTAACTCAACTGTGGAAATGGGTATGAAGTTATTTTTGCAGATTTACAATGGTTTGTATGTTTCTGATTTTTTTTAACCACCTTGGTTGGCTTCAGAAAGGTGGTATAGAAGTACAACAAATTAGTAATTAATTACCTAATTACCTAATAATTTAGTTACCTAAAATAACATGGTCAATATATATTATGATCTGAGTTTGTTTGTTTTTATATCAAGGGCAATAAACAGCTCCTGTACAAGTTTCATGTGACTTCATAAGACTAGCGGTCTCACATGAGAGAAACTGGGAATAGCTTGCCTATACCTTGGTCACCTCAGTTGATGCATTATCCTAAGATTTGATCTAAACCAGAAGTGACCAGAATTGAACCATAGTGGCACTTTGTCTCTATCATATAAAGTTACTACATTTCCTGATAATTTCCATAGCATTTTGAAGAACCAATTGCTTACGAAGCACTTCTGAGGCTCTTCCACCATCCTTCTGTGCACTTCATGAAAGTGTTTTCCTTAAAATAGAGAGAATGTGTGTCAAGGGAAGGAAGTAACTTCCATGAGGTGCCTCTACTGCATCAAGAGTACTGGGTATTTGTTTCTGAAGACTTCCAGTTCCTTGGATCTTTGTCTCCTTAGACCTGATTTTCCCCTGGTGTACAGTTAATGAGAAGCTGTCATTATCATGTCACCACATTACAAAGGCTTTCTATTTCTGTGCTGTTCATTAATATAATGAGCTGTTAGCTATTGCTTGACACTGATTGTGTTATGTGTGTGTTATTGCAGAGAGGCATGAGGATCAGCCATTTTCTTCAATAAAGTAAATTGGGAGAAAGTTTGCTTTTGGCTATTTCCCTCTTTGTAAGTGGAAATGTTTTCATAAAGCCTGTATTAAAAGTTTTTCCAAAGCTGCAACCCATATCATACTGATAATAAGACTGCAGTCCTTTCTGTACTTGTTGAGGAGTAAATCTAATTGAATTCAGTGAGGTTAATACTGTGTATTATATAGTACCTAGAGTGCTTCTTAGCAGAAATGATTTCAGTGGCTAGAATCCAAAGAGCTGCTTCTAGATATTTCTTACACTAGATAGACCTTTGGAAACTGCTTCTAAATTTTGAAGTCTTTTCATTTTAAAAAGTAGTATTGGAGGTTACTGTTCATGAAATGCAAACACAAAGCAAATTTTGGCCATGAGAAACTAGTTGTACATTTTTGTTGTCGTTGACCAATATACAGAAGGGAAAATATTAAGATTTTTTTAGTAACAGTTGTAATATATGGTACTTATACTTTTCTCAGAAACTCTGAAACTTGGTTTTCTTTGTATACTTTCCTTGAAATAGGAGATAGAAGATGTATAAATCATTTTTCTACTCCTTGCAGGCAAAACCTAAATTCTTCTCCTTTATTTTTGTGCTGGCAGTGTTTTGTTCATTACCTCAGTAATTCCATTTCCCCATTATATTATTATTATTATTATTATTATTATTATTATTATTATTATTATTATTATCTGATATCTGTAAGAATTCTGTTTTTTAAATTCTTTTGAAAATTGTCTTTGTTCTTCTCACTGAAACAGATTCTAGTAATAGCTTCCTAGTTATGCCATGGCTTTTGGAGAGCTACCAAAAAAAGACTGGTACGGTATTTTGGGTGCAGGACCTTCAGACACTTTAGCAGAACTGAAAAGGAAATACCAAAGGCTAGTACTATTGGTAAGTATATTTTAAGCATTTTGAGAGGCAACATATTGGATAAAAGCTGCATAAACAGAGCTAGATGTAATGAGTATTAATTATATTGTGTATGCATGTTGGTTTAGGTAGAGCTGAAACTGTGATTTTGTTGCATCCTTAAATAACTTTTTCTAGTTTCATAAAATTCCAAAAATGTACAAGAATCTAGCACTGCTTTTTATCATGTGAAATGAAAATGAAACTTATACATGATTCTTTATCTTAATTAAAGAATCATCCTGACCTTCCCTTCTGAATTGTGCAAGCATGAAATGAATCATTTGGTGTTTCTGACTTTACAATTTGCTACCATGGAAGCAATTATAATGTCACTAGCACTAGACTGGCATCACTGGATAAATTGAGCATGAGGCACTGACTGAAAAAAAATGTTATTCCCCCTGTAAAAGTGTGTTTTTAAACTGCAGCACCGGTTTATATGACAATTTTTTGGAGATCTAGTACTTTTTGATATATTTTATTTATTTGTAGACCTTCTCATAGAAATTAAATGTGTGTTTGTGTAACCAAAAAGAATTCATGGCTTATTGTGAACTTTGACCACTGAGAAACAAGATTATCAGGTCTGAAGAAATTCCAGAGATTGTAGAAGTACCAGCTTCCCCTTTGGAAAAACCCTGTAAGGGGATCCCCCTCCCCCACAGAAGAAAAACTAACACAGTCCGAGGAGTATTGAGCATGCTTATTGGCCACAGAATATGATGTATCTGGTGGGGGGGACAGTGAACTAAAGAGAGGGGTGGGGAAGTAGATTGGAGCAGATCCCCTAAAACTGCAGAAGTGGAATCCTGGCCCTGGGGTAAATCCTTGTCCTTTTCAGGAAGGAGACTTTCAAGTGGGGCAACCCTTCAGGTAGAGGACTGGAGAGTCTGTCAGATACTGCAAGCATGCTGACACTTTTTCACCTATGTAAAAATACATGTCTTTAATATTGCCCTCTCCTCTCAGTGCTTGCTGTGATTTGCAGTTCAGAAATGTGTGTGACAGAGAGAACTCCAGCTTCTAGCATGCACTGTACTGACAGGCTAAAATGGCTTCCCTTCCTTGTTAAATCATAGAGAAAAGTTAGAGAATAGCAAAAACAATAACTTGACAGCTAATAAGAATATAGAAAATGCTGACCAGATGGCAAGGTGGGTTCTAATCGGAGACTATAGACACGAGTGAGGGATACAGCAAGGTGGGGCTCAAACCCAGCCAGAACAGCTATGCATTTTTAGATCATGATTCTTTAGAAAAGCCTCTGTTATACAAGATTCTGAAGAACTATGAAAGGAAGTCTGTGTCAGAAGTATGGACTGATACCTAGGTGTAACTAGCTTTGGAGAAAAGTATAGTGATTAAGAATACTGTATGCAAGAAAGTTAACTTTCCTTCTTCCGTGATTGAACATGCTAACCTTTCAATGCAAGTTTATACATGTTTACTCAGAAGTAAGTCCCACTGGGTGAGTTTGCACTAGATGCTTAGGCACCCCCCTGAATAAGCTACTCACTATGGGCTATTTGTGGAACAACCCACAGCGTGCCTCACATCTCACTGTACTTTGTATCTTGGGGTTCTTCTCTCTCTAGGCCAATCACTATGTTTGCTGCCGTTTTTAATCTTAATTGCTTATTTTGGAGCTTGGAAAAATTAAGATCATAGTTTTTATATTTGATAACATTTTTGGGCCCCTGAGAATCAGGCAGCTGTATTCAGCATTTTTGAAATACTCATTTACAAGTGTACTCTTACAACTGTACAATATGTATAATCTTTCCTGGTCTCTTTAATGGCTTAGAAGTAAAAGGGACAAAAATGTGTGTCACCTGTCTGAGATCTGCAGTAGCTAAATTGTTTAAGTGCTTTGAGAGTGTGTGGAAGAGCTGTCTAATTCACATTCTTCTTCTGGAAACTTTTGCTAATGTTAACCTTGATTATATAGGTGAGAATTCTATTGCTGACATGCTTGTTACTTCACTGAAGCTTTACTCAGAACATCTTCATTAGCCTCAATATACTGAACATGTTTTCTCTTTATTTCTGAAGGAATAATAAATCAAAATATATTAAATTTGGGATTTGGAATAAAACTCAGTCCCTAGATTTTGATTTCTGGTTTTCTAAACTGTTTTGAGTTACCATCACCATTGTTAAACTTAATTTTTTATCTGTTAAATGATGCTAATTATAAGCTGATTAATATGTAAATTATCTGCAATAATTACTCTCAGCCTTTATTTAAATTAAAGAAGCTGTGATTGGTTCATACCAATCTAGCTCAAATTGAAACTTCGAAATATACACAACAGATAATAAACAGCTGGTGCAAAAGTGCAAGGAAACAGGTGTGCTGCCTTCTATGTGCTTCTCATTTCAGCTTTTAAACAACAACTGACTGTTGGCCCAATCATAGGTTGTTGTGCATGATTCATGAACTTAGAGCACTGATTAACCACTGGGTTAAACAGCCCATAAACAACTCAGCATTCTGGTTTTGCATGTTATGCTTAACAACCTATGATGCAGCTGTTGATTAAAAACTAGTAATGGGTGCATTGGAAGCGACTGTTCACACACTCCTACTTTTGTGTTGCAAATTCTGGGTTAATTGAAATTGTGGTGTGCGGTTTTGTTAACTTTATTTTTCCTTGCTTGCTTTTTAGCTTAAGAACAATGGTCCAAGAGGATTATGATTTTTAATTTTCTATGATCTTGCTTAATTTTCTGTGATTTTCACCAAAAACCAGCAGATTGTCTAACATTATTAATGTGAGTTCAGCAAATTCCAAAGGTAGTTGTTTATACATTTGTACAAAGGAAGCTGTATGGGGAAAAAGAAAGCCAAATCTACAGGTGAACGTTCAAGTATAGACACTCCAGATGCAAAGGTCGCTATGTGCTGAACTTCACTTGAAGTTATACTTAGATTTGTTGACCCTCTTTTTCCTTGATAACCCCCATCTATTTCCAAATGAGTGGCTGTTACAATGTAAATTGCCATAATGGCCAGTTCTGAAATAAGGAAGAGCATTTGAGTTTTCCTAAAACCAGGGTCTGTCTGACAGCAGGATTGTTGTTCAAGTTGATAGCCTGTCTGTTTGAGAGTAATAGACAGGCAGAGTTTAGGGATGGCACAATCACATGTGCGTGTATCTTAACACAGCTGGTAGACCTAAAATTAAACCTTCCAGCTTTGCTGGTGGTTAACATTAGTTGTGATTGTGTTAAATTATATGATTGCCATCCTTTTTCTGATAGGTACTGTATAAATACATTTTAAAGTTCATAAAAAAATTTTCAGAATATTCCAAAAACAAGTTATTGATATCTCCTTATTATAGAGGATTATAGTTAAAGAATGACTTCCTTTGCAAAACTGGAATTTATTTATTTATTTATTTATTTATTTATTTATTTAAAACATTTCTATGCCGCCCCCATCGCAACAAAGCCTCGGGGCAGCTCACAAAGAATACATAAAACATACATAAATAATAATAATATAACAATTTAAAAGAAAAAACAACAACATTTAAAAAACCCCGGTGCATTCTCAGCTAAAAATTTTAAAATCCAAATTAATACAATCATTTAGCAATTAAAATAAGTTTTAAATAAAAGGTCTTAGCCTGGTGCCGAAAAACAAATAACGATGGCACCAGGCGGACCTCTCTGGGGAGCGCATTCCATAGATGGGGCGCCACCCCAGAGAAAGCCCTCCTCCGAGTACTCATCCTCCTAATTTCCTTCACGGAGGGTTCCCGGAGAAGGGCCTCTCCCGCAGATCTTAAGGGGTGGGAGGGCATATATCTGAATTTGAACTGCAGAGCACTCTTTTGGTACTAAGAAGTAGTTGAAATAGTCTGATGGTAGAGCTCTGCCAAGGATAGTATATCACAATCATGGGTTACATCCAAAATCACATTAATGGCCTTTTGTTTTGTAGTAGACCTTTCTCATCTGATCTTCTATTGCAATCCCCCATATTCGCTTCACATGGTTCCCCAACCCTCCACAGCACATTTTTCTTATTTTTTGTAAATTAAAAAAGCAGAAAGAAAAACATGGAACAACAAGAAAAAGTTGCCAAGGAGCATTGTACAAAACTCACTTATAAAACTAGATGCAGGAAGTTTCACAAAAAATCAGCAATAATCATTACATCTTCTAAACTTAAAATTTTATATGATAATACAAATTCTAAATAATGTTTATTAAATTGTTAAATAGCCAAATAAAACTAAGAATATCAGATGAAAAATTCTTTTAACATAGACAACAAGTAAGCGATGATTCCAGCCCCAATTACAATTAAAAATAATTTTTTCCCTTTCCTCCTCTATTCTCCATGCATTTCCCCTCCCCCCTTCTTTAATTCAGAGAACAATTATATTAATCTAATCATTGTATACATTATGCATTAATGATATCCAAAGATTCCCTTTTCTCTCAATTATGAATAAAATAAAAATTGGCTTTTCATTTGTCACTAAATTCATTAACTGAATTTCCTTTTTATGACTTATTAAATGATGCATCAGCTAAATCCTTACTTAAACTCTATTTTTCATCCTGGTTATTAAGTAAAATATAAGGTTTCCATTTATTGTTGAATTCTTTAACTGGTCTTCTATTTCATCCACAATAGATTTGACAAGTGTAGGGACTACTCTGGGGTGGGGGATTATGCTTGAGTGGGGAATGCACATTGAAAGACACAACTGGATATTGCCCAATAACATAAGCATTTAATTGTGCCTATTTTTTCTCCTCTTTCTGTATTTATCTTCTGATGCAGATATTAATGAGTGAAGCTCATCAAAAGTTCTACTGCCTGATCTCAATCCTTTTCCTATTCTTTGCCTGTAATTCTATACCCAGTGTGAGAGAGAGAAAGAGAATGAGAATGTTTAGCTCAATCTGTGGATATTTAGGAAGAGCAGATCTAGGGAATAAGAATAAACTTGGAAGTA